CTGTTGCCTCGCAGCAAGAAGGCTGCCGGTTCGCGTCCCGGTGGGGGCACCGGAATCTTTCTGCGTGGAGTTTGCATGTTCTCCCCATGCAGCGTGGGTTCTCTCCGGGTTCTCCGGCTTCCTCCCACACAGTCCAAAAAACATGTTGAGGTTAATTGGTGATTCTAAATTGTCCGTAGGTGTGAATGTGAGTGAGCTTGATTGTCTGTCTCTAAGTGTAGCCCTGTGATAGACTGGTGACCTGTCCAGGGTGTCTCCTGCCTTCACCCTAAGTCAGCTGGGATAGACTCCAGCCCCCCCGCGACCCTAATGAGGATTAAGCGATGTATAGATAATGGATGGATGGATGGATACATGCATGGACTCTTAATCTTAAAAGTTAGTCATATATCAGAGCCTCTGTAGCTTCTTCTGATGTCTATTAAAGCAGAGGTTGTGCAGCAGGGCGGCAGTAGATGGCGCTGTCATGTCAGCTACAGATTGGGTATTTATTAGCAGAGCTGCTGCTGTTTGGTGTGTCATCCTGAGTCATTGCTGTTTCCCTGCCTCTCAATTTGCTGCATATTGTGGCTGTTAGCATGCAGGGCATTGACCAAGGAGGTTAAATATATACATGCATGTACATTACTGGGATATGAGGAACAATAACCGAGTTAAGATCTTTTACTCAGGTCGTTTTGAATACTGCTTCCCCGTAACTGCGCTCTGTGTTTCCACAGCTGTGCAGCACGACAAGCTGTCTACAAGAAATGCTGTATATTAAAACATGAGATAATACTTTGGATTAAAAAAAAATCCAAGCAACGTTCAATACATAGATTTGTGTAATGTCATTCTGCAGAGCGCGAGTTGATATACTGGGAGTTAATGCTGCAAGAAATCCATTCACTTCAGCTCAGATAGCTTTATTGACACGACCACATTCAGACAGAGTATTGCCAAAACGCTGTGTGAATACTGGCAGTAATCCAGAGTAAGTGAAAATAAACGATCTGAAAACTGAACAGCGTGCCCAAAAGCCAATCACAACTGCCGCAGATTCAACATCTGAACACTGGCCAAAGTTTGCAAAACAAACAAACAAACAACATGTGTCCAAATAATGATCGAGATTCCAGATAGTACGACTGGCACCGATGTAGAGTGCTTGTAAAAAGCCTTCACCGCCCTTGGAAGTTTTTCCTTTTATTGCTTTTTGCTTTAAATTAGTTTCATTTAGTTTTTTAAATTTTCCACTTTTGTTTTTTTCTTTTTTTTTTTTTTGCAAGAATTTACAAAAATGAAAATGATTCTTTCATGATAAAGTGAAAACCAGTTTCTAAAAATTAAAGTCAATTAGGTAAAAATATAAAATGTAGAATAAGTGATTGCTTAAGTGTTCGCCTGAGTCCAGAGAATGTGTCTCAACTGATTGTAGTGTAAAGACAACTGTATCTGGAAAGTGGTGACTCAGCACTTCTCGCTGTAACTCCACCAAGAAGATGAACGAACGCTTCAAGCAACTCTGTGAAAAGGTTATCAGAAACAATAAGCTGGGAGATGGCTGCAAGAAAATTTCCAAGTTACTAAACATCCATTGGAGTACAGTTAACTCCTTCATTAGAGATGGACGGATTATGGCACATGTGTAAATCTGCCCAAAGCAAGTCGTCTTCATAAACTGAGTGACTGTGCAAGAAAGAGACTAGTGACAGAGGCCACCTGTGTTTCTGGCCAATAAATGCCTTGAATCCTTGAATCCAAGACACCTATGACTCCTCTGAAGGAGCTGAAATGGAAGAGACTGCTACAATAACTGTCGCCTGTTCTTCATAATCAAAGCTTTTAGGGAAAGCGGCAAAGAGAAAGCCACGACTGAAAACAGCTCATGTGAAATTTGTACAAAAGTTCAGCAGAAGGCATGCAGGAGACGCTATGGTTATCAGGAAGAAGATGCCTTAGTCTGATGAGACCAAACACGGCACATCATCACAAAAACACTGTCTCCACTGTGAAGCATGGTGGTGGCAGTATCATGATGCAGGGATGTTTCTTTGCAGCAGGGCCTGGAAAGCATCTGATTGTAGGAAGATCCTGGAGGACAACCAGATGCAGTCTGCAAGAGAACTGTGACTTGGGAGAAGATTTGTTTTCCAGCAAGACAATGACCTAAAGCACAGAGTCAAAGCCACACAGAAATGGTTTAAAGACAACAAGGGGAATGTTGTGCAGTGACCGAGTCAAAGCCCAGACCTCACTCCAACTGAGAATTTGTACCTGGACTTGAAAAGGGCTGCTCACTCGTGATCCTTGTGTAACCTGACAGAATTTTTGCAGTTTTGCAAAGAAAATTTGCAGCGTCTAGATGTGTAAGCCTGATTAAGGCCTATCTACACAGAGGGTAAATACATATTCTGTAGTTTTACGAGGCATTACCAGTGATTTCATGAAAAAAAGGGAAAACTTGACAATGACAGTAACTTTTTCCAATAACTACAGTTTTAAGCTGTTTGAAAAAAATGTTCTTTTTCTTCACAATGCAGGCAGAGCTACTGTAAAATTGGGGCAGTGTGGTCCAATAATTTGGTGGAAAAACAGGTAAATATGTCTGTCCAGATGAGGGCGCTGTTGTGCAGTGACCTGAACCGAGGCTGAGGCCATACGAGGTGAAGCAGCTCCTCTCAGACTGAGACCACCATGCAAAGTGGAAAAACTGGAAAAGCCAACTAAAGCAGCATTGAAATTAATACTAAATTCATTCTCAGTTTCTTATGGAGTGGTCGGTTTGACCGGTTTTACTCTTATTATAATCTGTGTTTCCTTAAATCTAAGTCATCCTGTCACTGTTTGTCTTGCTCAGCCTGACTTTGACCCAGCACCGCTCACACAAAGCACATCAGAATATCAATCAGATGTATATTGGAGGCAGCCAGTTAGATCACTTCAGAGCAGTGTGTGTGTGTGTGTGTGTGTGTGTGTGTGTGTGTGTGCGTGTGTGTGTGGGAAGTTTAGGGCCCCTGAGAGATGAAAGGTGTGCGATCTCTGCTCAGCATTGCTGCGGGTCTATTATCATGCAGAGACGAGTGACATCCGAGTCTCGGCTGCTGCTGCTGCTGCTCTCAGCTGAGCTCCAACAGAAAGCCACACCGAGTTTAGAAGGAGACAGACACATCAAATTGCACAACCTGGAGGGAGAAAAGATCTGGGTGTTAAAACAGACATCCTTCATTTTTGGTGTTTCCGGGTTTTTACGCACGAAGGATAAGGAACAATAAAAACCTAATCAAGCGTATTAAGCAGGTATTTGTTGTCACGCTGAAGGCAATAAACTCAAAAGGTCTGAATGGTGTTTAAGCAGCGACACTCAACCAGTTTATGTGGCTTTTAAACAAAGCAATTCCAATGAAAATATGTAGTTTGCAGTAACATTGTCATGTTTTGTGGTTCTTTGTGAAGTCGGTGACCCTGTTTGTGGCTCTTTTCGTTATGATTGAAACTCATGATCATGTGGACTTGATGGAATGCCTTTTCGATTTATGGCCCCAGTGAGGCTCCTTTTACCCACCTTCGGCCGTGGACGCTCTTTTCAGAGTCAGATCAAAGAGCCGCTGCAGGTTCACCGCCCACCGACCCAACCGCAGTTTGTCTTTGACCGGGTTATGAATTGAGGGTGAGCTCGCTTCAACACGCCCTTTCTTTACTTTGCTGGACTTTCGGGGGACTCCTGACAGCTTGTCTGTGTCCGTGCGTAAAAGTGTGTGTGTGCGAGCAAGGCGGGGTTAGTGCGCGTCTTTTATTTTTCTCGGACCAAAGAAGAGAGGATTAGGAGAATTTTTAAAGCACTCACCTTTTATTCAAACAAATTATTCACTTCAGCAAATAAAAGGAATGTGACCCACGTGAACTTTTTGGAAGGTTGATTGAGGTTTAGGGAAACATTCAACCCCCCATCAGGGACTGCTTTAACTCCGTGTGTGTGTGTGTGTGTGTGTGTGTGTGTGTGTGTGTGTGTGTTTTACGCATAAAGTAGCTTTAAAATTCTAAACTGATTCTTCTACTGGAGTTTTAAACCCCTCTCCTGTGCAGATTTTTGTACCGTTTGTGGATGAACAAATGCGTAAATTTAACTTGTTAGCTTGAATAATCGCCCAAACCTGACAGACAGTTTATCAACCAGGGAGAAACAATACTGTATAATTCAAGACGTGATTCAAATAATTTTACAATAACCATCGGGGCTCACTTTTCCTCATTTTTGATCACCGTGAACATCACCATCGCAGGTGCGCGCAGTCCTGGATCACCGTTGATTGGTGATGGTGTTTATTGTTATCTCCTTTACAGATACACAGACACGCGTGCGCAAAGTATGAAAGAAGGGAGGGGGAGGGCAGGGGAGGTCTGAGGTGAAGTGGGGGTGAGAAAAGGAGGAGTGTGTAAACCAGAGAGGGAGCGGGGGGAGAGATAGTATTAGTGGCAGGAGAGTGGCCGTGAGGGGACAGGAAGGGCAAGCAACAGTGGCTTTGGTGCTCAATTAGTGTTTAATCTTCTTCCTCAAGACAACAATTGGATCTCATTTTTTCACCTTGTAACTTCGCTTTATTTATTTACTTTAAGACACTAGAAGAGAGGGAGAAAGCGTATCGCTCTTTGCGTAAAACCAAACTTAACCAAACCATTTTACGCACGACTTTGACTTGGAATTTCAGCGAGCGAACTGGGTTTTTCTGACCTTTTGGGATATTGCTGGTTTAAGTTCTTATTCTCAGTGAAGCCACATGGGGATTACACACGTCTATCTTTTTTAATTTACTTTTTAATGGCAGTTCTTTGATATACTTCTGAGACTAGAGACGGAGAAGACAGAGGAGTAAGAGACAAGTGGACTGTAAGAATAGACTAAGAAAACTGGGGGAAAAAAATCTGAACTCGAACCCAGAGCATCGCCACCATTCAGGCCCCCAAACTCCTCAAAGACTGAGCAGGACGCCTCCTCATTTTTTAAACCCATGTCTCAACAGCAGAGCACTTTTCCCAGTACTGGTTGTGTGGCGACGACGCGGCGAACCATGGACAACAGGCCTGTCCGGAGAAGACGACCCGGCGTCGTTCGACATCTGCTGTTGGCTGCCGTCTTCCTCTCCTGCAGCTCCCAACTGATGCTGGTTGATGCCAACTCATGGTGGTGAGTAACTGGCTGATCGTTGGTGGTGCATTGATTTTTGAAAGATGTGCTCAGTGGTGCGATGGCGAATCAAACGTGGATGAATTACGGCTCTCATTTGGTGGGTACCAAGAGAGCAACTGAGGGGGAAAAGCACATTTTAGATTCCCGACATGGTTCTATTTTGCTGATAAGATGGCAAATAGACATTATTGAGCCATGGCTTCGCTTTGTGTTGCCTCGTTGCGTCTGTGTGTGTGTGTGTTTTGGGGGTTAGTCTTGCGTCGTGCCGTGATGTTCCAGTCGTGTGGTGGAGCCCTAACAGCGAATGGAACAAATGTGAAGGCCCTGTCACAATATTTACCCTGGCTGAGCCCCAAATGGCACTGCATGGCGGGCTGCTGCTGTGCTTACAGGCTCGTCAATTTGCCACACTTGTTGTTCTCTTACAGAAACTGCTGTGTGTAGCTTTCCAGGAGGCTTTAGAGGAGGGCGCACACAGCTCTGTGGAGGGATGCTGTTGGAGCTCACCTGTCAGAAAGGAAGTTTATATGGACATATTAGCATCTACAAGTCTAGAGAGCATCAAAATGTGTTATGATTTGCATTACTCCTCAGAAAACCAAATGGAATTGTAAAGGCAACACCTTTTTAGTGTCGCAAATGCACTTAGTGACACAAAGCTGATCTTTGCTTGTGGCTAACCTTAAACACAGTTTGATTTTCTTTCGTTTGGATGATTCATTACAAACAGTTAACAAATTATCTGTCATTTTTCTGTGTTTGGGGACAGTCCTATCATGAAATAAACTGATAGGAAACGATGGTGGCTGCAGACATGTTCACCAGAGGTGTCCATTTATCTACATTTTATAGGCCACTTGTTCCAATAAACCCCATGTCTGTATTTCTTCCTCTGCTGTGCTGACCTTTACTCACACATTAGATCATTGAGTCCGTGCTGCTTCTCTTCAAGCTTAACAGATGCATTTTGTTAGTGTAAACTCTGATTTAATAGGACCTCTGTCTCTCAGGTCACTGGGTCTGACCCCAATCCAGCGGCCAGAGATGTACATTATTGGAGCTCAGCCTCTCTGCAGTCAGCTGTCTGGTCTCTCCCAGGTAAGTTGCTGTCTGTGATAAGCACACAAGCTGCTTTCGGTGCATTTTCATCTTCAGATGTTGTTCACATATCTCGGTTTTAAATTTATTGCTACAATGAAAGAAGCTATTGGAGGCTCAGTGCCACTTGTTCCTTTTCTGCACCTTCTGACTGGGGAACTGGTCACATAAAAGGGTGGAGTTTCCCTGCAGGGACCAGTGAAGTATCAAACCATTAACCAGCTAATCTGTGCTAATCGCTGCTGTGTGGTCTGCAGGGTCAGAGGAAGCTGTGCCAGCTGTATCAGGACCACATGACCTACATCGGAGATGGAGCCAACACGGGCATCAAGGAGTGCCAGTACCAGTTCAGACAGCGGAGGTGGAACTGCAGCACAGTGGACAACGTGTCTGTGTTTGGACGGGTCATGCAGATCGGTGAGTTTACTTTTTGATGAGGATAAAGTCAGTTAGTTTAAGCTCTTGCCTTTTTAATTTTTTGTAAGTTGCTACTTTTAATTTTGCATGTGATTATTTGTGTTTGTTTTGTGTGTCAGTGAAGGCTAATACAGTTTGCAGTTCTTGCCAAGCACATATTCTTCTGTTTCTGTTGTAAGACAACCTCATAAAGAAGAAATAATTTCAATGAAGTTTCATTTGATTAAACTTCTTTGACCGTAAGACCCTCAAGTATGCAAGAAATATGCATCCAGAGTCACGTTTTTCTACCACAGTCTCCCTGCTCAGCTGCAGTCTTTACTGGAAAGTGGAAGCAACTAAACCCATTCATTATTTTATTTTGGTGATTTTGAAATAAAAGATTCAGTGACTCCACAGCTAGTGTTTGGATAGTCGGTGTTAACTGTGGTGTTGGTTGTTTTGCAGAACAGAAGAGTCTTAGATGGAAATAATGCCCCATATTATTCTTTAGCCTTACGTTGAGGATAGCAGAGGAGTGAGTGACAAGTCTGATGTTTGTTTGTGGGTTGGCATTGAGGTAAGATATGAAATCAGTCAAAGCTAGCACATGTATCAGGTGACTACTGTTAAATTTAGATGGTGTCATGTTTGTATAAATGCTCATGAGGTGTCTGCATGTCATGTATGTGCATAAAAACACATTCCTGGAGAGATGAATTATGTGTCACAGGGTGTGGAGATGAAACCTAAGTACGTCTTTCAAATATTTAACATCTTCCTAGTTCAGTCTGAGAATAGTATACAGAGCTTTTATCGTTCATACTGAAAAAATCGATTTGGTTTTTGACTTTCTTTGCACCTTTTTTATTGAGGCCTTTTTCCAAACACGTGGAATTCAACCAAAAAAAAAATAGCAGATTACAATGTCGAGCGATATTTTCAAGGAAAACATCTTTATAAATTGAAATATCTGTAACGCTTCTAATATTAAAAAAATTAAAAAAAAAAAAAAGAAAAAAGAAAAAAGTTGCTTTGCGCACAGCCTCAGAGGATTACGGAACCAAGTGGCACTTTGCGCAAGCGCGGTGGAGCCAATAACTCCGGGAAACACCACACAGAGAGAAGCGGGATCAGATTAGCAGCTACTAAAATATAACCGTGGGATTTATGTGCAGTATCTTAATAAATATCTAGTGGGGAGCGCACATCCCCGGATCGATATCTTGCGCGTCTAATTCCCAGCAGGTGATGTGGGAAACGTCTCATCAACAAGTAAGTGTCAAATCCGCTGCAGGCAGCCAGACGAGGTGTTTGCTGCTCCTCTCTGTGTCTCCGTCCTGCTCCGAGCGTCTCTCTATTGACAGTCAGTCTCCCTGCGCGGTTATATGGAGGTGTTAGTCGGTCCATTGTCCTGCGGCTCGTCTTTTGAAATGCGCTGATGAGCTGACACCGAGCCAACACATCCGGACCTGCTATTTGAAGTGGAGGCTCCGCAGCCTCATAAACCTCCGTCCTCTCTCTCTCTGTCTGTCTCTTTATGCTGATGCGTGGTAGGAACAGGCAGCCTGACTGAGAAACTCTATGAATGGATCACACGCCTCAGTTTCTGCATAATGTACCTGCCTGTCTGCTGTTGATTCCAGCTCAGAGGAATCCTGGAGACTGTTTATAGGAAGAAAAAAAAAAACTGATTAATAAATAAATAAAGAGTTCATTTGCAAAAACATGTAACTCATTTTTTGTAGATTTTCAGAAAACTTTTTTGTTGTTGTTTGCTTGAGATGATATCAATCAAACTGAAGCTGAGTGGATTTGACTCAGTAGAAATGACAAAAATAGAGATAACTTAAGTTTGATTGATATTGTCTCAGGTAGATGATGGATAAGTGGGTTTTCTGAAGGTTTGTGAAGATGGAGTTATCTGTTTTAGCAAATAAACTCTTCAAATGTATTTAGATTGGAGCATAAATGAATCTCACGCTTCCATGTTTAGACCCAACCTAAAAAAATAATGTTTGTATTAGTTTTTCTTTTAGTTAACTTCCGATAGAATTCTGTTCAACCAACAAACTATACTGAATTAACTGAATTAGTCTTTCCTCTACAATCCCATAAACCATTTACAAGAACCTGGAATCCTTAACTCAAAACTTCAGTTATCGAACTGATTTAATTAATTTACTGCAACTTCAATGTTGTTTTAATTCAATTAACTCTGAAATTTCAGTTTGAATTACTCACTATATGAGGGTTGGTGTAACTAGCAGCACAATTATGTCAACACAACTGATCAAAACAGTGTTTTTGACTGAAAAGCTTTATTCAAATTAATAGATTTTTATCTCACAACCATGCATTTAATTAGGTTGTGATCCCCTGATTTCCTTTGAAGAGTGTATAGAGCACGTAAATACCGATATAGCCTCAGTTTGGTAACATAACTGGTCACAAAAAAGATGCTCTATTTAGATTAAAATGCACTGGATGTATGATGACAAGAAGCAAAATCTCTTTTTTTTGTAATGTGTATGTAAACTAAACCCAACTAACTTTGTTTAGGCCTTCATAATAATAGGAAGGCCCCTGTTTAATATAGTGGTAACTGATTTGGGTTTTAGGGATGATTCTGATACTGATTATCCATGAGACTGATAACTGGTATTTAGAAGTGATGTATCTGCAGGAAAAATTAAAGTTTTGGTGTCAAAATGTAGAATAAGACAAACTCTCACTCAAAATGCTGAAATTCCTTTGTTTCCTTATATATCACATGTTTGAAGGAGAGTTTTTCACCAGTTGTTTTTCAGTGCTGACACCAGGTTATGACTTGACGTGTATCCAGGACACCACAGAGTGACTGTAGATAGAGAGGGGCGGCTGCATCAGAGTCAAAGCAGCACCTTCTTACATTTACATATTGTACTGGGAATTGGTTAATAAAGTTAACAGTACCAGTATTTGGGAAAACAATCTAATTTAATACCAATTCTTGCTGCAAAGTTCTGAAAACACCAGAATTGCGGTGATCATCCTCACATGATATTTGAAGTAGAGCTATTTTATCTAATACAACACTGAGTTGAAAACTCTGGTATGTAACCTCAACCAGGAAAACCCACATTTGCATGTCAATGATGCAGTTTCAGAGCACTTAACCTCCTACCTGTCAGGCCGTCGTCTTCCTCCTTGTTGCTTCTTTGTGTGCGTTGAAGTGGTTTGTGTATTAATGCAGAGAGTAGGACAGGCAGGTGCTGTTGTGTATTGTGAAGTGTTGTTAGTCTGCAGAGGCAACAGAAAACATGAAGCCTGTTGAATATCATGCATCCAGGCAGCTACAAAGAGAAGCAGCAGACTGATCGCTGGAAGTTTCTGTCAGCTGTTAGAGACTGGCTGCTTTAAAACTGGTTAGCTGATGGCTGGTAGTATCTTCATTTGAAGCTCAAACTTTAGATGAATTCTTATTACATTATCATCTATCTGCACTGTGGTGGTTTCACATAGTGAAGAGTTTAGAGTTGTTTTTTTTTCTCCTGCTGGTTACACTGTAAAAAGTGTAAAAAAAAAAACATACGCAGTTGGTAGCACTGTTGCCTCGCAGCAAGAAGGTCGTCGGTTCATGTCCCGGTGTGGCACCAGGATCTTTCTGCGTGGAGTTTGCATGTTCTCCTCGTGCAGCGTGGGTTCTCTCTAGGTTCTCCGGCTTCCTCCCACAAAGTCCAAAAACATGTTGAGGTTAATTGGTGATTCTAAATTGTCCGTAGGTGTGAATGTGAGTGTGCTTGGTTGTCTGTCTCTAAGTGTAGCCCTGTGATAGACTGGTGACCTGTCCAGGGTGTCCCCTGCCTTCACCCTGAGTCAGCTGGGATAGAGTCCAGCCCCCTGCGATCGTAGTGAGGATTAAGTGGTGTGTAGATGGATGGATGGATGGAAAAAAACATAAAAAATGGTAAAAATCTGGCAGCGAGAGTGGAAAACTGTAAGGTTTAAAAAACGGTGAAGACACCTGCAAAGATCTATGAAATAATAATTTGTAGCTGATTAAAATATAGTAAAATTGTGTGATTTTACAGTTAGACATTGCAAAAGAGTAAATTACTATTTGTAGAAATAAACACTTTTGATGTTGATATTATTTACAGTTTTTTAACCATTTTTTTTTATAGGGTCAGAATGTACATTATTTTTTCTTCTTTGATTTCACTAGTTTTTGTCTGCAATTTCACAAAAATGGGGAAAATCCTTTAAAAAAATTTGGTTTAGTGTGTCCAGGTTTTTAATGTATCCATGTCTCAGACTAATCTGAAAATGTGTCCTTGTAAGTCTTGACCGTTCACAAAACACACTGTTGAGACTTTTTATTAGCTAGAAAATACTTTACATTGTGTCTGTAAGGTCATGTTAGTGATGTTTCAGATGTAAGTTGTCTCTGCTGGGAGCATCAGAATTAAATCCAGTTTGCCTCAATTGAAAACAGAAAAATCTGAATGCTGCATGTCACTAAACATGAGTGAGAAAATAAACTTGGTAACCTGGATGAAGTGACCCTTTAACATCAAGGTTGACTAACCAGGACACATACAGCTCGAGGCCACAAACACGAGAAAACTGATCTGTTTACGTCATTAAATGCTTCACTTGTATTATGGATCACTGAGCTGGTATTTAAAGTTGTTGAGTTTAACCAGGTATCGGCTAAGAGCCTCACATCACTTCTATTGTCTATTGTTGGGGTGGAGGTGGGTGTGGGGCTGTCGGCTGTGTGTGAGGGGGGTTTAACCTGTGCCGCTTCCTGCCACTGAATGCACAAACCCTCACCAGAAACCCGAATGAGTAAAAGTGAAAATGTAAAATATTAGAGAATGTAAACACCGCGTTGTGTCCTCTCCACCAGGCTCCAGGGAAACAGCCTTCACCTACGCCATCAGTGCAGCCGGTGTGGTCAACGCCATCAGCCGGGCGTGCCGCGAAGGCGAACTCTCCACCTGCGGCTGCAGCCGATCCGCTCGACCCCGAGACCTGCCGCGTGATTGGTTGTGGGGCGGCTGCGGCGACAATGTGCACTACGGCTACAGGTTCGCACGGGAGTTCGTAGACGCCAGGGAGAGGGAGAAGAATTACCCCCGCGGTTCACCCGAACACGCCCGGACGCTGATGAACCTGCACAATAATGAAGCAGGGAGACAGGTATGGAGACCAAAACACTTCTGTGTTTCCAGCATACAGAGCCCCCCAAAAATATCCAATATAATATATTCAGAAAGTTCAGTGAAGGAAGTGGCTCCTCTTCTTGACCCCACACTATATCTGTATGTCTGTAAGGAATGTGAGGAAGCTGAGGCGGCCCCTGATCGCCTGACCCGGCAGTATTTGCATGGGTGTGTGTAGGTTATTTATTGGGAGGGTCCAAATGGTATAACTGCTAACGCCCTTGGAGTCTTGCTGGGTCACCAGGTCAACGCACATTCCTCCACAGTAACACACAGCCGCACATGCACATACAGACACACGAATAAATCCAACAGCACAGCGGATAATAGCGCTCCTTTACTGTATGATTAGAGTTCAAAATGAAACTTGGAGACATTGTTCCTGATGGATAGAGAGACCAGCTGTATGATTATGCTGTGTTTCTCATACAGTTAAAAAAATAAAGTGTTTTTAACAAATTTTAATGTTAAATAAATAAATAAATATTGGTTTTAAACAGGGTTTTCCCCATTTTGTTAAATTACAGGTAAGATCTAATAAACATGCAGAAGTATCAATCCACATGTTAACCATGAAAACACAGGCACGACATAAATAATGTCCACATCAAAACTCTGTGTTTTTAGAAATGGTAATTGGTTCTTTTACAACATTTGAAAGTCAAACAACACTTTTTTTTTTTTTACTATATTAAAATCTTTTTAAAAAAATGTTATTTTACACATAGTGTTATTTTAAAGAAAATTTTTAAGTTAAGAAATTTAAAAAAATATTTTTTGCCATTTAAAAAAAAAAAGATTATTATATATAATTTCTGCTGAAATAGCAAAAAAAAGGGAATTATTTACATGTTAGCCATGAAAACACAAGACAAAGTTGTATCCTATTAAATTTTGATTCTCGGAAGTAGTAATTTGTTGTTTTACAACATGTAATTGAAAAACGACACTATTTTTACTGTATTTATAGCTACAAAAATGTTATTATTTTACATATAGTTTCTGGTATTGGAAGAAAAGATATTTAAATGAAAGATTTAAATGTGTAAAATCATTTTTTAAGTGTTATTTCACAGATTTTCACTTTTATTTTTATTATTAAAATGTAGATATGCAAAAAAGTTAATTTTACATGTTGATTTGGGGAAAAACAATCAAAAATCTTTGTTTTACACACAGTGAATGACTTCTTTTACAACATAAAATTACAGTTTTCCTGTATTTAAGTTAGATAGAAATATTATTTTATATTATATGATACAGATATTTGCAGTTACTTTCACCTTGAAAAAAATCATAATAATAATTCAGCGTTACAGTATTGCTTCATTTTTTACATATTTTTAAGGCACGCTTGCTGCCAGACTTGAGAATCTTTCTTACAGTGTGTTTCTGTCCCACTCTGGCTGCTGTAAATTATGAGGAGGAACTAAAGTGTGTGCAGATCCTCTCAGGTAAAGAGAACATTATGGGAAACACACTGAGACGCCTCTCACCTTCGACTGAGCACATTCCTCATAAAAGGCCCATTTGCTCATTCTGGTCCACAGTTAGAGAAGCTTTAAGCTGTAAGACGGAGCATATGTGTGAGCAGCTCAGCTCGGTTTGATTTGTGTGAGAGACAGTGAGCCTAGTTTTGCGCGAGTGTGTGTGTCAGAGGTCAGAGGTGAGGGTCTGGAGAGGTTGTGTTTCTGCTGAGGGTCCCATTGGGGCTATAGAGGAGTGTATGAGCGAAAGATCTACTGCTGCTGCCGCTTGGTACGAACACACACACTCACAGCTCGCTGACATACACACCAATTTTCAATGACTTTTCCTCCTGTGGCCCGTTTGATCCTCTGCTCTCATTGTTGCCTGTCCATCGGAACGGAAGAGAGGAGAAGAGAGAGATGAAAAGGGGGAGAGCAGGAGAGAGGAAGACAGTGTTTCTCCCCCCTTTTTATTTTTTCGCCCCGTCTCCCTCCACCTTTCTCCCTCTTTTCTTTCGTGGACACGCTGGTTTGTCCTAAGCGGGATTTGTCTTGCTTGGTTGAACAAGGCAAACTGCAGGGCTTTTGTAGAGGTGACAGGGGCGTGCTGCTCTGTGTGTGTGTGTGTGTGTGTGTGTGTGTGTGTGTGTGTGTGTGTGTGTGTGTGTGTGTGTGCGTGTGTGTGTGTTCATGCTCGGCTTCATTTGGTTTGTGTGACTGGCGGACAACGTGGTCGTCTGTGTACAAGCGTCTGGAGACAGAGACGCAGGGTGAAGGATGGACCTCCGTCACACTCCCCCGACTCTCAAAGACCTACACAACACACACACACACACAAACACACACACACTGTCTCCCGTCCACACAAATCAAATGAGGCAGCGCTCGTTACACAGACACCAAAACAGCTCAATGCGCATTCCCAGTCTGGAGACAACAACAGGCCGCCTCAGCTCTGAACATACAAGATCATTTTCAGCCCATCTGTCAACCTGTCGCTCACTTGTTGCAACAGTGACTCGGCTGAACAGTGTCGGATTCAGAAATAAAATGACAACCAGGAAGAAAAAAACAGCACATGTGCACTGGAATTGAGGAGAAAGGGACACATTAGAAGCTTTTCTTCACCTAGCTGAGGGTTAAATATCATCAGTGGTTGCACTGATCGAGATCTTGTATGTTTTTAAAGACACCAAATGTGATAACAGTGAAAAAAAAATCATGCTTTGATCTTCTTATACAGCCTTTAAAATTGTATTTTGGTTTTTAATGTTTCATGCGATGTAAGTAAACGAAGAGAAGCTTCTGCACAAGCACATAGAGTATGTGTGGAGAAGTCTTTTTTAAAAATATATTTAGATATAAATACAAAACAGACACTGGGATTTTTTTTACTACAGCGATTTTCTCCAGATCAATCATTCCAGAATAATTGGTTTGATTTTTGTAGGGGAGTCCATCTGCATCGAAAACAAAACATCTTTTTATAAAAGCAGATTGTGAACTTTTCTTCTGGAGCGTCACACTGAAAAGGGCATCCATCATTTTCTTTTATTTTCTATTTTTTTTGCTTTACATGGCATTCAGATCTGGCTTTACACTCATAATTTAGAGCTTTCTGGTGCTGATTTAAATGGTCAAATTAGTCGCCTCATGTGTGGTGATAATTGCAGAACACCGCTGGCAGGGTGCCTGTTCGTGATCATCTTTTCTGCAGCCGTACATTTTTGTGTATTTCTTGTTCCTTACTTAGTTTGCTGAGCACATTTGGAGCCTGAATGTCAAGCAACCCCATGTCTTGCAACCAAATTGAATTTTTTTTAAAAATCAGAGTAATTTTCACACATCAGACAGACTTTACTTGTAGATCAGTTGTTGAAAATTACAAATTTGCAAGTTGATTTGTTTGTTTTTTGCTATGAAACAACAAAAACAAGTTGTAGCAGCATGTTGGAGGTAGTTTGCAGAACTCTCATCTTGCAACTTGGATGTCAGGATGATTTTTTCACATGATTTCATTTGATCAGATGTCAAATAACATTCAAGCTGAACCGGCCAATGGCAGAGCAACGTGCTGTAAGTGGGAGAAGAAGCAACAAACAAATACATACAATCTGTTTTTACAGAAATAAGATTAAACGAAATGAAAGCAGCTAAATTTAGTAACTACATTTAACAAGAAGAGAAAAGTGTTGCTGCCTTATCCTCCTCAGTCACAGCCTATCCTGTCACAAAGGGTGGACTATGTTCTCTATTGCTATCCTATTCTGGTCCCGACTCTCTAAACACAACACACACACACACACACACACACACACACACACACACAGACACACTGGGCTCCTCACCCTCTAACCCCGTCTGAGCAGAACCTATTGTGCCTGACACAGCGACCGTGTCTCCACCACGGATGACTGACCGTGTGTGTTCATCAGGTCCAGTGTCGTTGCGCCCAGCAGGCGTGACCCGCCAAAGAGCTCAGTATGATGCAGGACACACACATGCAAGGGTTTCATTCGGCAGTGCAAAGTTATTGGCAGCTAAAAAAGCGTTTCTATAGCACCGATCGTACAAAGAGCGAGACTCGGAGTGCTGTTCATAACACACAAGTAGTGGTGGAATATTAAATAGGAACAAAAAGAAAGATTAGAGGAGGAAAAACACTGGATTTGCCTCCTTAGTATCCTTGTTATGTGAGCTATCATTCATCATGTTGGGAAAAATGTTGCTTCTCCAATTTCCTTATTGTAGTAAACTTCTCATAAACCCCACAGTCGGGGATCTGAGTGAACACGAAAGCTCGTAAAACAGCAAGAAATCATGAAATATGATGATTTCCTTCCATTAATGTCTTGCAGTTTTATAAAAATGTTCCTTTTTTAGGACTGTTTTGCATGTTTTAATGAGAAAACATCAGCAACAGAGTGACAAAAGAAGCTTTTTCTTGTCTACAAAACGTCATTGTCCCCGTCGGTCCGAGGGGGTCACGGGGGTAGAGTCGCGGGATTGGAGGGTGCCGAGTGCTATGCCTGCTGGGTAGTAAAGTAGAGGAGGTCGGGGGTGTTTGGGATGTGGGGGTTAACAGAGGTGAGAAGGTAATTGAGATCAGGCACCGAGGGGAGACAGAGTGATGGGTTTCATTTGTGTGAGGGCGAGTCGGGGGAAATTAGGGATCGGCAGTGATTGATTCAGCAGGTAAAGTGTGCAGACGTGCGGCAAAAGGCAACACAATGCATGAATAGTGACGGTACATGACAGAATTCATGTGTGTGTTTGTTTAGGAGGAGGTGTTTTATGTGACTTGATCATTAAATGGTGTTTAGCTGGTGAAGGGCTCCCCCTAAAGCTCACTGCTGCTGTGGAGACTGGTTTCTCTTCTTGTTTTTAATTTACCCCGATGATGAAAATGTTGTATAATCCTGAAAGCATTTTCAATCTTATTTTGTTAAATAATGTTAATACTGTTTATATATAATTATATATGTGTGTGAAAGTAATGTTGAGAAGGGAAATTCATGCGGTCGTTGGTTGTGTACTATCTGGTAAGACTACACTGTAAAATCTAATTTCAATAGTTTTTGACTAATTGTTTAGATTTTTTTTTCTTTTTACAGATTTTCTGTTTTATTAAATTCCAGATGAAAACTTGTAAAATCACAGAAAAAGTACAAATTTACATTTTAAAAAACAGACCAGAACTATTTGTAATGTCCACATTACACATCTGGATTTTTTTTAATAATAATACTTAATAATAAAGAAACACTTAGTTCTTTTACATGTTTGACTGTAAATTACACGATTTTTACTGTATTTAAATAAGCAAAAATATGACTGTTACAGATATTGGCCATCATTTAAAAGAGAAAATAATTGCATTAAGGATTGAAAAACAATACATTTTTTTTAACAGAATTGTACTTTTTTAAAATTATTTTTACAGATAATATCCACTAAAATCAGAGAAATAAAGTATTAATTTACATGTAGACTGTTAAAAAAAAGTTTTCTCATCAAAAATCTGTATTTTTAGAAATGATGATTTGTTTCTTTACAATTTGTGACTGTAAGATCACACTGGTTCACTATATTTAAATCAGCTAAAAATATCTGAGAGTACACATATTTGCAGTTGTTTTCACTGTTTTTTTTTGTTTGTTTTTTGTTTACAGTTTTTTAACGCTACACATTGCACTGTTTTTCTTTCTTTAAACAAATTTGTACAACTTTTATGAATATATATAAATTAAATGTTAAAGTGTGCACCATAGATTTTCCTGGATTCTTCCAGGGAGCAGTTGGTTCAGCTCATCTTCTCTTGACTAAATAAATGAAAGGAGCAGTTACACATATTGACCAATAGATGGCAGCAGTGCAGCAGCAAACACAAATCTNTTAGTTCTTTTACATGTTTGACTGTAAAATTACACTGTTTTTACTGTATTTAAATGAGCAAAAATATCACTGCTTTATAGATATTGGCCATCATTTAAAAGACAAAATAATTGCATTAAGGATTGAAAAATAATTAAATACATTTTTTTAGCAGAATTGTACTTTTTAAAAATTATTTTTACCAATAATATCCACTAAAATCAGAGAAATAAAGTATTGATTTACATGTAGACTGTTTAAAAAAAAGTTTTCTCATCAAAAATCTGTATTTTTAGAAATGGTGATTTGTTTCTTTCCAATGTGACTGTAAGATCACACTGGTTCACTATATTTAAATCAGCTAAAAATATCTGAGATTACATTTATTTGCAGTTGTTTTCACTGTTTGTTTTTGTTTGTTTGTTTTTTGTTTACAGTTTTTTAACGCTACATATTCCACTGTTTTTCTTTCTTTATTGAATTTCCCTTCTGGGATAAATAAAGTATTTTTCATTCATTCATTTAAACAAATTTGTATAACTTTGATGAATATATATATATATTCAATGTTAAAGCATGCACTATACTGGTTCAGCACATCTTCTCTTGACTAAATAAATGAAAGGAGCAGTTACACATATTGACCAATAGATGGCAGCAGTGCAGCAGCAAACACAAATCTGGAGCACAACCTAAAACCCAAGAGATTTGAACTGCCGGCCAACAAGATCATTGTTTGTTGATGTTTTTTTCTTTTATCTTTGAATGAGCATAGTATTTTATTTTAAGCTTATCGTTTGACTTTAAAAATCTAACATTTGACAGTCTGGCTCTGAGACAGATGCTTGTTTCTCAGCCTGGTAGCACAGCTGACTTGGAGGTGAACTGCTGCTCGTTTTATTTGGAGACTGATGTGACTACTACCTGTCTTATCTCCAAGAATCTGTGAATACAGTCTCCAGTTGCATTATTAAACACGCAGAGCGGTTTTATAAGTTTTTAATAAGTTGTTCAGCTTCAAGTGTGTATAGTTAAAATCTATTGTCAGAAAAAGTGCAGCAAAGTGTTCTTCTGTTGAAATGATTTGTGTGCTCCTGTCACTCCACCAGGCCGTCTACAACCTCGCTAACGTGGCCTGCAAGTGTCACGGAGTCTCGGGATCCTGCAGTCTAAAGACCTGTTGGCTCCAGCTGGCCGACTTCCGACGTGTCGGAGAATCCCTGAAAGAGAAATACGACAGCGCTGCAGCCATGAGGATCGGACGCAAGGTACTGAAGTCATAGCACATGCATCTCTTCCTTTACCCTCTATGATGCGCAGAAAGATGGTTCCACATGTAACGCTTCCTTTGCCCAACCAGGGAAAACTGGAGCTCGTCGACAAGCGCTTCAACACCCCGACCCCCGAGGACATGGTCTACATCGACCCCAGCCCAGACTACTGCCTCCGCAACGAGACCACCGGCTCGCTGGGCACGCAGGGTCGCCTCTGCAACAAGACCTCGGAGGGCATGGACGGCTGTGCGCTGATGTGCTGCGGCCGAGGATACGACCAGTTCAAGACCTACAAGCACGAGCGCTGCCACTGCAAGTTCCACTGGTGCTGCTACGTCAAGTGCAAACGCTGCACGTCGCTCGTGGACCAGTTCGTGTGCAAATAGCATCGCCTACAGATGCTGGGAAAGACGGAAGAGGGATGAAAGCAGCGGAGAGGGTAGGTGGTGATGACAGAGGGTGGAGGAGATGACGGGAAGGTGGCCTTTTTTTTTTTTTCCAGGGTTTTGTTCAGGATGAGACACGTAAATTCCATTTTCTGACCATATTCCTTATCGCCTGGTCTTTCACATCAAGAAAAGAAGCTACGAAAACACCTCTGGGGCCACTTTTTGAGCGCAAACGACAACTCTGATTTCTATTTCCCCACCCTCCATCGTCACTGCTTTCCCGTATAACATCCTGATCCCAATCCTGAAGGAAGGAAGAAAGAAACGAAACTGATGAACTAATAGAAGGACACGTGGGGACGAACGGACCTGCAGGAGGAACAACTGGATCCTAGAAAGGGAGGACACATGAGACTAGTGTGAGACGAAGAAGGGAGCAACGAAATAAATATATAATTAAATATTAAATAAGCATACAACTCTTGATTGTTATTTAAAAGAGACTCGAGCAAGTTTGGACCCGTTAAAAAAACTCTGTATTTGGAGAATCCCAGAAATCATTACAGTCCTTTTGGAGTTTGGAGCTGTTTGAGTCATCGTGTCTGTTTTTAATGAACTTTTGACCTTTGAGATGAGATTCTGGCCACGTGAGCGGCACTAAAACTGCCAAATACGCTGCCAATACCATCCCAGAAAAGAGAGAAAATAAAGAAGTGGCTTTAAATCAGAAAGGTTGATGAATTGAGGTAATTATGAAAAAGAAAATTTAATTGGAAAATGAAAATAAGGCGGGGTTTTTTTTGTTTGTTTTATTTTGTTTTGTTTTATTTTTTTCTACACCCAGCTGTAAAATTCTGTTTTAAAAATACAATAACCTGCAGAAAAACCCGTAACCTTCAGGTCACAAAGGACACAGCGAACCCTCCATTTATCTCGGTGTCACCGCTGCTCTCTCTTGTATTGCCGGAGCAGATTTCCAGTGACCTGACAAGTGTGTCTGTGCAGGTTAATGAGGCTTTTTGCTGGTTGCGGCCATCTTGACACCGCGGCTGTTTAAACAAGCAGCTCACACACACCGGCGGCGTTTCGGCTCCGTAACCTTCATGTGACAGCGACGTGAACGAAACCTCCATTAGCGAGATTAATGTGCTGTATCTGCCGTAATGAAGCCGCAACGAGAGACGCGCGTGTGGACATCTTCATCTCACCGTGTTACGCAACTTGTTAACAGGCCCGCGGTGTCGATTTGGCGCTTTTACCACCAAGTTTAGTGTTTGTTTTTTTATAATTCTGTTGTACCATGATTTTGTATTGGTTGACTAATCCAAACTAATAACAAACAGGAAAACCGAAGAGGACTGAACATGTGGAATAAAAAAATCAGAAAGGACTGCAATTTATTACGCGCTACTTAAAAGAAAAAAAAAAAAAAAAAAAAAAAAACAGTAGATCGAAAAAGAAATTATATTTTATTATTGTTTTTCATTCTCTGTTTTCTATGTTTTATACATGAGTATTACTGTGTATTCTTTTGATAAACTAGTCTTTGAAAATCTGTTTTTGAGCTCTTTTTTTTTTTTTTTTTATCCAAGCCAAGACTTTTCACTGTGTTCCAATGTGACAACTACAGACACGTCTTTGTCGCCAAGTGGCTGTTTTGGAAAATGATGCTGCGATGGCTAAATGGGGAAATGAATTAAGTAATACAGTAAGAGCCAGAAGGACACTGCTGCCATTGATAGACGAGGGCCAAGTATGAGAAAAACAACAGTTTCTGAGAACTGTAAAGACGAAAAATGGCTGAACTTCACTTATGCTGGAGGAAATGTTCCCAACCACCTCCCTTGTACCCAGATTTTTCATACAAGATCAATTCCATGACAAAGTTAAATTGCTGAGACGGACATGGACAATCATACATGCCCTTTACGTGGTATTAACAATTTCTCATTGCAGGATTGAGGTTTTCAGCCTCAGATGATACTTATTAGACAAAACTTTACATTGAATCTGGAATCAATCTTCACATTTACCCTTAAATTCCTCTCAAATGACACCAAATAAACAGTTCTAGTCCGTGTTTATCAGTAACCTAAAGACATGAGCAGATAACGAGAATGTTTTCATGTCTCCTTGTGTTTATATGAATGTATTGTTTCCTCACATAAAGTAGTAAAATAATATGTATGTCTGTGAACTTGTGCGCCGTGTTTTTGGCACTTCAGGGTGTGATTTTTTTAATAGTGGATTTGGTGATTAATAGTGTTTGCTCATTCCTGCTTTTTGCTTATTATTCCCTCTGATTTCTGCTTTATTTTCTCACACCTCCTCCAGACTTTTGAACCCATCAGATGGCCGAGCAGCTTTGCCCACAGACTCCGTGTTTGTGTCTCAACGTAGGGCTGCACATAACACGGCTGGAGACGTGCAATGTGTGCAACAGTGGCATCGCATGAGTGCAATGTAAAGTAAAAGGAAATGAACCCAAATGCATCATGCAAGGGCTTTCTTTGCTGCATGATGCAAACAGAAAGCATTTACTACAGGTAATCTGTGAGAAAATTCTGTCTATGAGCCAATGATTCACTCAGATTTGTTTCTTTTCAACTGTATTGACGACACAAGGAGATTTGTGGTATGCAGCCTCCACATGTGAGAAGTAAGATTAAGTTGCAAAAAGATGTGCAAAGTTGCATGGAAGCATTTCAGCTGCAGAAAAGGATGATGTTGAGCAAAAACAGGTACTAAGTCAGCAGTGTTTTGCAATTATCACCACTCACGAGGCAACACAACTTGTCTGTTTCCATTTAAATCAGCACCATGAAGTCCTGTATGATGCACATGTGAATCTTATCCAGAGCTTTCTTTGGAGTTGCCAGAGTTATGCAATATGAAAAAGTTATTTTCTTCAGCTTTTTAAAAAATATTTGTTATATTAAAGGCAGATGGACTCGCCTTCAAAATCACCGCAGTCATTCTAGAATGATCAAAACTGTCCATATTTAAGACATTTGGTGTAAAAAACATCCTGCATTTTTTCATATAGAAATATAAACAGTAGAAAAACACAATAATTTTGTCCAGTATTGTGCAGCCATACCTTCAACCACTGCACATTTCTGTCTGTACTAACACATCCGAGTCATTTAAGCTGGATTCTCCCCTGCGTATCTTCTTTACAGCAGCAGCAGCAGGTTGACTTTATCTTGTCTGTCCGTCTATAAAATGCTCCAGCAGCTTTTAGCGCTGAATGTCAAGCACACAGTCATGGCTGCAGGTCTGTACAGTGACCTAACTAACAATCCCATTACTTTTAGCTGCTCACAAGTAATTGGATTAGACCACTGACCAGAACAGCATGACCAACCGACAATACTGTCTCTGTGTAATCACCTGACAGAAGACTGTGTGAGAGATGTTCTCCCTCATTATGGACAAACTGCTGCTGCTGATTATTGCTACTAAGTCCGGTGTCGGTGTGTTCATTTCGGCGGTTTATCTACGAATGCGTAAAATGTCACTCTGTGCTGTATTTAATGAAGATTAGTCCAGTGAAAGTGTGACTCCATGGCCTGTCTTAATCCGTTTCATCTGACAGCCATCTGCCGCCGTGGTGCAGAAATCTCTGAAACAAACAAACAAACAAACAGACAAGACAGTGAGGTTTTCTGTCTGTTAGAAGGCCATCTCTTCCCATTATGTTTTGTTTTTTTGGGGTTTTTTTTTTAATCGCATACTTTTTTTTTTTTTAAATTCACAGTTCAAGCAGAGGGAAGAGTAGGGATGCAGCACTGAGGATGTTCTTTCAGCTTCACCATCAGTGTATCTGCATTTTTTGTGCCTGAAGTCAGACTTGTACATTTGCACTTTCTCTAGGACAAAAAAAACGCAGAGAAGTTGCTGCGTTTTTTTCTTCCTGGTTAAAGCCAGTGTATTGCAGAATCCACCCTTACACCTGGTAGGAAGACTTTCACATTTGAATTTGTCTCCAGACCAGGAAGAAACATCCGTCTGCTGCTCCCTGTAAAGGCCAGAAAGTGTCATCTGCTGCTCACAAACACCATCATAGTGTTTAAGGAAGGCTTTAATGGCACCGAGCTCCTGCAGGACCTTTTAGTGTCCAACCACCAGCTGGCTAATGATGTAGCCTAACCAGTTTAGTGGCATCCTTTGCTGTTCTCGCAGTTGGTACTACATTACAGGAAGAATGGCTCCCCCAATTTATCTTACCATCGTCTGTCGTTGGGTCTCTTTTCTCTGAGCTCTTCTGACATTGAGCAATGAGATCCTTTCCTGTACAACCTGTTCTCCCTACATGCTGGAGCTGGAGAGGAGGAGCTGGAAGCTGTGGTTGTGGGGAACTTGCCAAGGATGGAGAGCAGCGTGGAGAGAAAAAGCATTAAAGGGGCAAAAATCAAAAGATATTGGGTTGTACAGTACATTTTGTTCCCAGTAAGAAGCCATTCATAGTGTAAATGTCTGTAACAGTGTCGCTTTTGATACAAGTTACTCGTCACTGAGACGAGGCCGCCTTTGAGGATTGTACTGAAGCTGTACATAATGCCTGAAGCAAACTGTACGATGGGATCTTGCACGTGCAGCTTAGCCGGCAGCTGTTGTAGTTGAGACATCTGGAGGCAACTTCTCTGATCTGGATCAGCTGAAGTGAAGGAAGACACAACCTCTTTTTGTCTGCACACACACACTCTCCACTCAAAAGTCTGTGCGTCTGAGTCGGCTGCTTCGTTTTCTGACACACACGAGGCTCAAAGACCAAGTCAAACACAAATGCTCAGCCACTTATCCATAAGCTCATTCATCCATATGCTTTCTACAAGCTTCGGCCAGTGCAGAATGGATTGCTGAGTCTCAGTAAACCAGAATATCTAATCTTCTTGTGAGAGTCCTGGACACGTGGACAATGTGCTGTGAGTTGGAAGTTCAATTCCCACATCAATGCTGTTTTTTTTTTTTTTTGTTCTAATTGATGTCTTCTGTTCTGTTTATTGCCACCCCACCACCCTGTAGCTAACTGAGCGCACATGTCGGATGTATGTGTGGTGGCGCTTTCTGTTGCAGCTGGTGCAGAAGGGAAACACCTGAAACCACCAATTTTTCAGAGTATTATGCAAACATTCAACTCAAAAAGCAGAAAAAATACATTTTAGGGGTCAATATCCAAAGCTTACGGATGGCTTCAGTTATTTTCTTTGACCAAGATTAAGCAGTCTGTGGTTTATAATCAAACAAAATGTAAATCCAGGTTGACCTACTGTGGTGTTGAGAAAGAAAAATAGCACATGCAAACTGCAAAATGAAAATATTAAGAATTTATACCTGCAAATAAAGTGCATTAATGAAGCATTGAACCACTTTAAGGGCAGAAATAGTCAAATGTTTATTAAAATGAAAAGTGAGCAAGGAGCTGCTGCAGGCTACTCACAGCAGGTAACGACACCGAGTGACTTGGACACAAACAATAATGCACTTTTCCATCAGTGTGTCAGCATGATGGATTTAATGGGAATGGGCTGCATTATTAACCCACCAGCTTACACATAATTAACAACACAATTAACAATTTATAATGTTCCTCTCAGTGTGACAACTCTGCTTAACCGAAGGCGAAATCGCTTGGTAATTAAAACTTCCCACCGGCCTGCGAGTGAGAGAATGAGGTGTGGCGAGATCCAGAGGTGTGGTGGCTTTTCACATAATGTGCTCTTTGCTTCTATCACACCCTGCATGCACACTTAGGGTGTGATAACTCCTGTATATAAAGTATTCAATCATGACGTTAGTGACCATACGTGCTACATCTGTAGACTCCTTTTTGCAACTGGGGTTAGATGCAGCTCTGAAGATTCCACAGAGTTTGTATCAGTGACACTTAAAATACTGAAAATATATGTTTATCTCATGCATGTAAAGACGTCACAGTTTACATTTTAATCTTTCACACTCACACAACATGTAATTTAATGTTTTTATTACCCATTTTAGAGCTATTAATAAACAGTGTTGCCCAAAAATTACATCCACTGAAGAAGTTCCTGCTTTCTTTATGGAAATACACAAAAACAGACGCATATCTGATTTCAGGTGTGGTCTACCTGTTGTGGCTTGTTGACCCTGTGTGGATACCAGCATCCCAGCAACACAAGCACAATCTCTTCAAAAAACACACCACGTACACGCATCTCTGCAAGCTAATCGAGAGATATTTGTAATTTTATGTAAATTAATATGAGACAGAGAAGAACTTTGTATTTTAAACTGTGCGGTCTGTAAAAGATATGACCTTTTAAAATTAATGTAAAATTAGTACAAATGCAAATTAACCTCTTGTCCTGTACTGTATGTGCTTTAGACTCCAGATATTGTCTTTTTATTGTATTTTGTGTCGTTCGTGACAACCAGGTGGAGATTTTTCAGCATTTAGTAGCTTCCTGCTTTCACTCACATATTGCACACACACGGATCGCAGTGACACTGAACGAATCTGATTGATTCTTGACCATTTCTTTAACTAACTGCAGCCCAAGTGCAATAATCGCCACAGCTATAAAGCAGCTGAGTCTGCTGTGTTTTTCCATTTGGTTCCAGCAGTAACAGATTATCTAAACAGCCACAAGGAACAACTCGCACACACACTCCCACGTACACACAGAGCAACAAAGAACAACATTTAAATGCTGGATTAGCGACGCGGTACAATCAGAAATCAAGGTTATGCAAACATAAAGCAGCACCATACTGACTGTATGTTGCAACCACTGCAAGTTAAGTGGAGGGCTGCAGAGCTGAAGGTCTCCCTTTAATAATCATCTGTTTCCTGTGATTGGAAGCATGTTAGATGATTTGCTTAAAAAAAAAAAAGGAATGATTGAGGGTTTGCATCATATGAACATTGGAATGAGCCGCTCATGTGGAAAACAGTGATCATAAATAGTATTTTATAACTGGATCTGCTGTGACAAATCCACAAAACATCTTAATTTAAAGGAAACATCTGTCTCGTTTTCAGCAGTTTGTTTTGCACCTTTGAAAATACATTCTGTTGAACTTCACTATCAGCACCAGACAAGGTTAAAATGACATTATTCGTCAATGTACATGGAGTCCTTGGTACAGATGTCTGAAAGCATGTCAGTTACATTGTGAACATAAATCAATAATCTAACTATGCAATCCAATTGAAATAGTTAGCTTAAAAAAATGTCCTTTTCAGTCAACAAACCTATAAAATTTCTATAAAAACTTTTTCAAATCATTACATTTCTATAATAATTTGCGAATGTATCTAGTTTTCTTCTAATACGTATTCACATAAATTTATACAAGTAGGTTTTGGACCGTTGTGTTTAGGTGAGCTTAAGAGAGTGCAGTTAAACTGATACACTATCCCATAATTCAAAGAAAATTAGACTCTAATAAGACAGACACATTGCCTCAGGAGCACGCAGCAATAATGAGGTGAAAGTTCAAAGGTAATAGGATCCACTGCCAACAAGAGACAGGCTGTGACTATTTGCATCCACGCAGCAGCAGAAGCAAGATTTTCAGCATCTTCAGACCTCTTCCATGTGGTATGTGTGAGGCCTCTGCTTTCTTGCCAACAAAGCAAGCGCAGTATCTGTCGAACAAGTTGCTGAACGTGTTTAGCGGTGATACTGAGGACCAGATTAACCAGACCAATAAAAGTCTGTCAAACTGTGCTGCGTTTAGCAACACACCCAGCAGCCAGAGCCTTGCATCACAATAAATCCATTTGCACAATCATGCAGTCAGAGCAGTGCACCCAGATGTGTGTTTAGTGTGTGTAATGATACACTCATGGATAAGGTGCATCCCAAAGCATGGAAGCAGACAGGCCAGCTGATGCAATGATTGTCTAGTTGTCAGTATGAAGACATTTTTATCACACTCCCCTTTTGAATGCCGAACTGTCACACCACCCTGGAACAGATTCAGTGTAGTACTGCTGCTCCATATGACTCATTCTTGTAAGTATATTCTTCTTAAAAAGACATAGAGGTTACTGTCAAAATATTGCTTCACCATTACTTTTTAAAAATAGCTATTTAAACATTAATAAGGCCACTGTCATCCAAGAAAACACCTGAACTGAAAACTGGCTATACATCGTGTTCATAAGGGGAAATTAGATGGGGGAGGCTTCTTGTCTCCAGGGCATCTCACCCTGGTTTTCCCTATTTGTAATGTTTCTGGGTTGAGGTGTCCTGCCTGCTGGAACATTGAGAGTTGCCTAATTTCCACATGGCAGCTACTTGCCAAACAAGTTTCTAAACAGAAAAGAAAAGTTGCTTAAAACACCACTGAAGTTAAATGTCACAAATTAGCAAATAAACTATCACCTTGATTTGTTTCAGATCAGCAATAATCGCTATAATTTTTCTACACTTTAAGCTCACAGATTTTGCACTTTAAAAAATAAAATAAAATAAAGATATACAATACACTCAAGTGAACAAGGCTTCAGCTTCAGTTATAAAAAAAATAATGTAAAAAAATACCAAAAAATAAAAAAATTTCAGTTCAAATTCTGTATATACAGTTTTGGTCTTCTGGCCTTTAGCATTACTGCAGTAATTTAAGGCTGTCAAATAAGAGGACAGCAATAACTCAAATATAACAAGTTTGGGTCTTTGGTTTAAATGTTTACTATGAATATGAAATTTGTCCAACATCAAAATTAGATTTAGAATAAAAACTTTCTTTGAGGGTAGTTTCTTAGCATGAATACCAAAAAATAACATCTTTACAGTCAATTTGCACTGACTCGATTTCTATTCACAAGCAGATTGATATCCTTCCAAAAAACCTGCGTGTAAGAACATTCCCAAAAGAGATGAATTACAGAATGAGCCAAACGGGTCAACATTTAAGCGATAAGTGAATAAAATAAAGTGTATAAAAAACTACAAAAATGTTTCTCAGTTTCTGAAACGTCTCTTCGGTCGAGCGATCTGATTGGACGGCCGATGCTCATGCGAGCCACGTCACCACGCTAAGCTCCTCCCTTCGACGTTGAGTCCAGTCTGGTCCAGCGACACACACTAACCGTTCAGAGTGGAGAGCAGCGGAGCGGCGACCACAACTCTGGCAACTCCTTTACATTACCCAGAGCACGGATTGCTCCTCAGGCGGCCGGTACAGGTGAATAATACAACTCATATATATCACTGTTGACTGTTATCGCTGTTGTTCTGTCTTGTTTCAAGCTGTTAAATTCCACTTTCACAGCGTAGCGTTAGCGTCGCTCTGAATGTAACCTGCCAGCTAGCAGCTTTGCTATCCAGCTAATTCTGGCTGTCAAAACAACAGAGAGAAGCATAATCTGCTAGCCAGCGAGAAGAGCACAGCTTTGTTTTGTCTTTAACGAGCCATTGTTACTCATGTGAAGGCAGTATTTGGCATTTTTAAAGACAGATAGGTCGATGTGGGACGCTGTCAAAATAAACAAGGGCTCTGTTAAAGAGTTATCTGGCTTCTTTCGGATGTGGCAGCTCTTGTTAGCGGACTAGCCAGCTCGCTAGCTCGGTGTAAACAAACCATTACCGTAGCCTGCCGATGGGGCTGCAGTCTGCTTCTTATCTTGTATCACACCTCGTGTCAAATGAAAGGTTGAATATATTTTTTCCCACAGCGTAAGGATATCCTGATAAAAACGCTCCTTTGTCTATGTCTTGTGTTTGAAGTGCACGAATTGTGGCTGTCAACAAGAAGGTAGTCTGGCTGGAGTTTTGGTTTTCTTTGTCTTGATTGCTCGCCAGTGTTGTTTTGACTCCTTGCTACTCTGTCTGAGTTTAGAGAATTGATTTGTGCGGCTCAGTTTGCTGTTATTTATGCGCCTTTCAGGATATTTGTGAAGGGCTAGGGGATGCTTATCATCTTAATAACAAAAATATGCAATTAGCTGCAGTTAAGGCTAATTACTATCAGCTTTGTTCATCTTGTATTTAAATTTATGTTTTGCTATTTAGCTTCTTGCCTTGTTGTCTTTTAATTATTTTGGGGTTCAGATAAAAGTGCTAAGCTAATGTCAGCCACATGCAGTGTTTTGTAATTTGTTTGTTTCTCAAGTCAGTGTTGCCTTTTGTAGAACATACTCATTTTTGTCATAAACAAACGGTCTAACTTAGTATAAGTTAATTTCCTGTTGCTGGACCTCGCTTTATCTAAGTCTGATGGGGCAAAAAGGCAGTTATTTTGTTAATGTATTGAGCAGTTGTTTCAACTCATCACCCAACATTCAGTACTCCTAAAATAATTCTGATTCTTACTGCAAATAGGACTGCTAAAAGTGGTTTGTCAGGCATCAGTCATCACCAGCAGGCAATACAGACAAACTTGGCAGTTGCAGTAATAATGTACCAGTCCTTAACTGCCCACTACTGAGTATTATTTTCTGTTATAGTTTTAAAGAAACAATAGTAATAAATGGAACTAAGCTGTTTAGCGTTAACTTCTCATTTTATTATCACATAGTATTTCCCTTTTGCTGTATATTGTGCCCATGCCCAGCCCATGTCCGTGTTCTTCCGACTGCCACAAAGCATGAGGTCATCTCATAAATATTTTATGGGCTGGGTAGCTGATAGCTTTTTTGTCTTGAACCCAAACTTTAAATGTACAAAAACACTTCCAGCCACAATTTACGGTGAGATTAGATTAGCACATGGGTATCTCATGTAACACTGTCTTCTTTTAAATTTTTATTTGTTTATTTATTTTTATTTACCTTTTTTCATTTTTTTTCATTTATTTTAATCATAGTCTTCATGTGCAGCTCCACCCTTTGGGACTGAACCGTGTCATTACTTGTTAGTGGAAGTTGAGCACCTGTAGTCCCTAACAACACCCGGGAAAAAAAGATCAAACTGTTATCTGTAAACAGATTTACACTCACACATACCTGCTATTATGTTCAAGTCTCAAGCACCTGTGCTTGTCAGTGTTCCTTCGTGTCAGAACCCATAAATGGCTGCAAAGCAGAGGCATGGATCGTTTTGTGTTTAGCATGTGCAATAGAAAAATCAAGTTGTGCATACAGCACAGTATCACACCAGAAGTTTACCGGATTAATTATGCTGACATGTGTCTCATACCCTTCAGTTTCATCTAACCAGGAAATTTGCAGGAATTTCCTGTTGGAAGATATTGATTTGCATTTATACGATGAATGCATCCATTGCTTGGGTTTTGTGCTCCAACTCTCGCTCTGCTAGACATGGCTATTGAGCAATACGTCATATTTTTTACTGGAAGTACAACTCTCTCGAGAATTTAATGTATAATGAAGTCAGTCTTTGACAGTGTGCCAGGCAGAGCAGCTAAACATAGCTTCTAAGAATAGTAGAGATCTGTCATTGCTAAGATGATTGATCATAAGACAGAGTAGCTACTCTCTCTTTCTGTTATATTCCCTTTCTTTTCCTTGCTTTTTTCTTCTCCACACAAGGCGTGTGAGCGTGTATGTGTTGTGTAAAAAACAAAAAGAACAAAACACGCCTTTGTTTCAAGTGTTTTTTTATGTTGTTGTTGCCTTAATAAGCATGTACAGATACCACAACACTCGCAATACACCCCGCTAAATACAGTTATTACGAGATAATTACTTTATCCATAGACGCAGTAAGCATCTTATGCTCTGAACACGTAAGAGTGCCAAGAGCATTAAAAGACATAATATGTCTGTTTCAGTGTGAGAGTTTATCGGAGTGTGTCTAAGCTGCAACAACATTGTACATGCTTAAGTTGGCTTACACCAATCAGCCGTAACATTAAAACCACCTGCTTAATATTGTGTAGATCCTCCTCATCCCTGAAAACAGCTCTGATCAGTCAAGGCCTGAATCCTCCAAGACCTCTGAAGGTGTGCTTTGGTATCAGGTGCCAAGCCGCAAGCAGCAGATCCTTTAATTCTGAAGTTGCAAGGTTGGGCCTTCTGATTTGGACTTGTTTTTCTAGTACATCCCAGAGATGCTCGATTGTATTGAGATGTGGAGAATTTAGAGACCAGGGCAACACCTTAAACTCTTTGTCATCTTACTCAAACCATTCCTAAACAATTTTTGCAGTGTCAGAGGGAGCGTTGTCCGAGGTCAAGTGGCCACAGCCACTAGGAACTACTGCTGCCATGACGGAGTGTACATGGTCTGTATTTGTTGGGATTACCCCACAACTCTGATCATCCAGCCATCACAACTTGGCTCTCGTCAGAGTTGCTCACATTATTATGCTTGCTCATTTTTCCAGCTTCCAACACATCAACCTGCTACCTAATCTCTCCCACCCCCAACAGGCGACGTTGTAACGAGATATCCTCTATTATTCACTTCACCTGACAGTGGTTTTATAGTTTTGCCCAACTGGTGTGAGTCTCTGTATGTATTTTCCTCTGGATCTTTAGTTGTACATGCTTATATGCTACTTAAAGTGTCACTAGATGGACAGCTAATTTCAATTTACAATATCAGTCATGTATAGTTTATTTACATCATTCAAATACTGCTTTCAACTTATTAAATGTTAATATATTTGTTGTTTTCACTTTTTAGTATAATATTATTCAAACTATATATTTAACAGGCAGTCTGAATATGTCAAGTTGGAGTTTGGGAAGTTATTATAGAATTGTTTGAACTTTTTATGGCATATTATTATAAACCAAGTCCTTATTATGTGAAAGTATAACTAAATGATTGATGAATAAACAGATTATTCCAAGGCATTTAGTTATATCTTCTCACATATACACAATAGCCCTGTATAAAGAATATAAATATTTGAGCCAATGAGGTGCTTTGTGTAGCGGTAATGATTTTTAATAACAACAAGACACAACCAGAGCAAATCTATTTTTATTGAAGGCAGCAACTCAACTCCTCACACTTGTAGGGAGCTGAGAAGAAAAACTGCATTTATGTGGTTTTACACAGTGTGCTCCACATTGCAGAGGATAAAGATAGCGTATGTGTAGTGGCTTTAGGTTTTCTCTTCATTTTCTGGAACTGTTTTTTATTTTTTTCTTGATTTGACCCACCTTTGTTTTACCAGCGAGTGTTTGTAAACCACTTCGTTTAGTTAGAATGCACGCACTGACCTTGTTTTGGTCTTCGTTGTGCTCAGGTGGTTGGTGGTGGTTAAGCATCAGAGACTGAGAGCTTTTACTCTCTTTGTTTCTGACTTGCAATTTGAACAGGATGTGGCCTCAGCAATATGTACTTGGAACTCTAAAACATTTATGAAATTTCCAGGAAAGATTTGTAATGTTAAGTGATTTTCTGCTCCTCTGCGTTTTCCAATTTCATTGTGTTCAGAGTTGCTAGATCACTATCAGATCGATTCTTTAGGCTGCACCGCCAGTCAGTTGTAGAGAACTGAACAAAAGGTGACGGGCAGTGTCAGCCATGTAGATGTAGTGTACATGGATGCTCCATGTGGATTCTTCTGCCTTTACACACAGATCTATGGCAGATGCTCCAAATGTTTTTGCCTTATAACCCCATTAAAACGAAGCCATGCCTATTTGTTACCGTACGTTGCAGGTTATGACTAATGTGAGTTATGAGAGAACAGTTTTGCCCTCAGGCTGCACCATTTGATGGACCTTAGAGGCTTGGAGAGGTGAAAGTGTCCCGTATTTCACATCATGTACCCATTCAAATTGTGTGGTTCTACAACCCCAAATATGGACCCACTAATTTAAAGTACACTGTCTCTGTGTGGGTTTGCTCTGGTTATAGGAGGACTATTTTTTAAAATCAAGTTACTTCATTTTTTGTTGCTGGTCATGCTTTGGCTCCTGCTATCCTCAGTGAAGGTCATCTTCTTTTTTTGTGAAGCTGAAATAGCCTGTTTAACTGTTGGGATGTATGTGAAAATATCAGAAAGGTTCTTTGTTTGCTGGAGTTAATTTCATATCAAATAAGACAGGTGATAATGACATACTCTCCCATCTCCCCTGGCGAAGTACAGCCTATTATCACCGAGTGTTATGCCCATTTCTTGTGCATGTTGTGTGTTTCCACCATGTCTATCAAGCATGCGTGTGTACGCTTTTGTAGTAACTGTGCTGTGTGTGCACGGTGAAGCAGAGAACAAGTGTGTGTGTGTGTGTGTTTGGTTCACGTCACACTGGCTCTCTTTGTTTA